GTTTTTATAGTTAGCTAGTGTTACTTTCTTTAACTAACTAGCGCTGTTTTAGAGTAGGTTTAAAGTTTCTTAAATAAATTTATTATTTAAATACTTATTAGTAATAATTTAATTAATTATCTAATTTATTTTATTTAAGTTAAGGTCTAAAAATAGCTTAAGTTAAAGTAGAGTTTAGTGTTAAGCTTTTTACACTTTTTTTTAAGTAGGGATGTTTTAGGATTGCCTTATAAAAGCATCTAGTTTCTCTCTATCTTAACTAGGATAATAAGTAATCTTAAAATTAAAATAAAATAGGTATTTAAACTAATAAGCTTATTAGTAGCTAAGTTATTTTATAGTTATAAAGTACTGTAAGTTCTTATAGTTAAATAGGACCTATATTAGATGCGCTGCACTTTCTAGTTTAAGTTGCTATTATTTAAAGTAGTGTACTATAGCAAGTAATTTTTTATTATAAATTTTATAATTACCTTCTGCAGAACTTATTCTTTTTAAAAAGTATGTAATAGGCCTAATAGTCCTGTCTAGCTTAGTCTAGAAAAGAACTTCTGCTACTACATAGTCTAAGGCATTAGCTTCTACAAGTATTAGTAGTTTAGAGTTAAAGTAGCAGAGTATTAGGGCTTTAGTAAAGGCTTTTTTTAGCTAGTTAAAGAACTATTAGTAATTTAAATTAAAGTTAAATTAAATCTTTTTTTTAGTAAGTGTAATTATAGAGCTTACTTACTATAAGAAGTTGTTAATAAATTATTAGTAAAAGTTAGTAAATTTTATAAAAGCTTAAATATTTTTTATGTCCTTTATGTATTACTAATCTAGCATAGTTTAAACCTTAATAGGGTCTATTTAGATGCTATTTATAAAGATTACATATTCTAAATATGTAACCTTTAATTAGTAGAACTTGCATTTGTCTATATTAAGTTGCAGACCTGCTTCTTCTATAGCCTTTAGCACTAGGCGTACATGCTGTTTATGCTCTAAAAGGCTATTACTATAGATTAGAATATTATTAATATACGCAGTGCAGAACATGTCTAGGTAGGGTTAGAGCAAGTTGTTTATAAAATGTTAAAAAGTACTAGGCGTGTTAGCTAAGCTAAAGGGCATTACTAGGTACTTAAATAGTCTATATTAGGTTTAAAACACTATTAGCTACTTATTACTTTTTACTATCCTTAGCTTATTAAAGGCAGTAATAATATCTAACTTTATAAAATACTTTGCTTTACTTAGTTAGCTTAGAGTTTTCTGTAAAAAAGAAATTAAGTATTAGTTTTTAATAGTAATAGTGTTTAGTTTTTAGTAATTAACATAAAATTAAAGCCTACTCTTAAGTTTCTTTATAAATAGTATAAGTAACACTACTAGTAAGAAGCTAGCTTAAATAAACTTTTTTTTAGGTTTTTATTAAAGTATTTTTAGAGCACTTTTAATTTATTTAGCAACATTCTATACAGTAGCCTATAACTAGGTTGTTTACTAGGCTTAAGGGTTATTTAGTAATTATATAGATGTTATATTAAAAGCTTATTAGACTTATTTTAGAAAAAAATATATAACAAGTTATAGTAGTCTTAAGAGACTATTATCTTTAGGTTAGTGCGTTTTTAGAAAGCTAGAGCTTAGTCTATATTAGAAATTATAACTGCGTAGATTTTATAATTTAGTTATTAAGCTAGAGTTATAAATAGAGCAGGTTCTATATAGTAGATGTCTATCTGCTGTTTAAGTCCTAGTTTATGTCTAAATTAAGTAAGTAAAGATTTCTTAAAGGCTTTTTTTTCTTTAAGTTTAAGTAGTTGTTAAATTATTTTATATAGCTTATCTTAGTAAAAGGCCTAGCTTATTAGCTTTACTTAGGTAGTTCTTCTCTAAGTTATTAAAAAGTAGGTCTAGAAACCTTTTATATTAAGTGCTACTTAGGTGTTGTTTAGGTGTAAGTATAAGCATATATCTTAGCATTAAAAAAAGTTAAAGTTTAAGACTTACTTTTAGTAATTAAAGGCAACCTTATGCTAATATAGCTATAGTTGTTCTAGAATTAGGTTATAACATTTTATGTTTATTACATAGAGCTTAATCTACATTTTATAGTGTTAGTAGGTAATTATAATAGTTATAGTATAAAAGATAGAATTTTTTTTAAGTTGTTTTTTATTAAATCTAGTTAAGTAAATTATTTAGGTAAGTAGTGTTTATTAAAGATTTAGTTTATGCACTAGTTTTTTATTAATGTAACTTATGCTATTTACTTTTAAGTTAATAAAAGCTTATATTAGAGCTAATATAGTTTTTTATTATAAATATATAAGAATATTAACTTAGTACTTTTAGTTATTAGTAGGGGATTTAGCCTATAAGTTAGTAGAGATCTAGTGTTAAATTAGTCTTAGAGAGCAACTTAGCTCTAGGACAAGCCTTTTTACAGGCTTCTACTGCTATAGCTGCAGCTATATTAAGAGTAGTAAAGAAGATTAAGGCTTAAATATAAGTTAAAGCCCTTATAGAAATAAGATTAAAATAGTAAAAATCTTTAATAAGTACTAGCAGCGCTACTTATGTAGACTTAAAAAAAATAAAGTAGTTTTAGAAGATATAACTATGCTTACTATACTTAAAGTATTAACTTTTTTTTTTATAATCTTTATGCTTTCTAAAACTAACTAGAGCATAATTTAAATTAATTTTTATTATATTAGAGTTCTTATTTATAACTGCGCTAGTTTAAAGGTGTATTAAAGCTTGTATAGAGAGAAACCTTATGTTATTATTATAGGTAGTAATTAGGTTTGCATACGCATTAAGGTTGTTTAAAAGAGGTTCTTCTACTATAGCGCGTTATAGTTTAGTTAAGAGGGAGTTATATAAGGCTATAATTAGACTTATCTTATTTAGGCCTATATTAGATGTAAGTTAGTAGAACTTAGTAAAGTGTAAAGTAAAGCTTTTTTTTTTTTATTATAAAGTGTTTAGGTAACTTAGAGCTGTTAACTTTTTATTTAGGTCTTTATAAGTTACTTATAAAAACACTATAAATTAATCTAAGGTAATAATATTTTTATTTATTAGTAAATTAATTAAAGCTGTTATATTATAGTTAAGTTAAAAGTAGGCATATAGTAACTAAGAGTGTTTAAAAGAGAATTAGTCTATGTTTCTTTTAAGTTTGTATTAAAGCTTGTGTAGAAAAAAAGGTAGGTCTTTTTATTTTCTGTTAAACAGTAGGGGATTAGAGAGTTAGTTAGATTTTATTACTAAGTTAAAAAGGTTATAAGTTATAGGCAGCGTTAGGTAAAAGAGAGTTAAGCTATCTCTAAACTTCTAGGTAGGCTTTAAGGCTAGTAAGTTCTTAGTTTCTACTACTATAATAAAAGTTAAGGCAGAAACAGACTGCTTAATAATATAAAGCTGTTTTTTAAAGTCCTTTTAAAAAGCTTTAAAGCTTACAATGTAGCAGCTTTTTTATAAAGTAAGCGCTTTTTAAAAAGCTTTTTAGCTTACTTTAATAGCTTAAAGTTATGCAAGTACTAAGCTTATTAGATTAGATTTAGAGGCTATTCTTAGCTAAAGTTTTAACATAATGTAATGTTATAATTATGTATAAGTAAGGTTATAAAGCTTTACAAAGGTCTAGTTTAATTACTATGTAAGGTATTATAGTAGGTACAAGATGTTGTGTAAGGAATAGGAAAGTTTAGAAGGAAATTAGTAATTAAATACTTAGCTTAAAAGTCTAAGCGCTTTAGGTATAAATTAAGCCTATTCTAGGTTTAGTTAGTGTTAAGGCAGTTTATGCTTAAGTTTATGTCTGTGTTATGTTATATTTGTGTTAGATGTGCACTAATAATACTCTAGTACGCGTCTAATACAGTTATGTCTGGGATCTGGGGAGGATACCGTGACAAAGAGAAAGGATTTCTCTTGTACATAATCTTTTAAATAGAAAGGTATAAGAAGAGCTTTCTGTCTTACAGCATTTAAACTACTAATTAGTGTTAAATAGACTCTATGCTAGCTATGCAAAGCAAAGAGGTTTGCACAGTGTACACATTGCGCTAGGGGGGGGTTGCAGGTAACTAGTGTTGATTCTTGTTTTTCTAAGTCTTTGCGAAGGAAAGGGTATTTATCTGTCTGTGCGTACAACCGTGACACAAGACTATGTCACGTGACGCCCAACCGCGTATCTAAATACTGCTATTCGGATAAATAAGCTTATAAATTTAATTATATATAGGTTATATAATTCCTAATTTATACATAATAACTTAAAAAGGCGCTACTTTTCTAAGTTTATATATAAAAAATTTTAAAAAATAAACACTATAAGACTTCTTAGCACTTAGCTACACATAAAAAAAAGCTTATATAAGTGATTAAAGATAAAGAAATTATACTATAGCTAAGTAATAGAGGTACTTAAGCTTAAAAGCTATATAATATAGCATAAAAAAAGTAATTATACTTAAAAAGCTTTATATATAACCTTTATTACTATATAAGGCTTTACATAAAAGTAGACTAATTATAATGCTGCTAATAACACTAAATATACTAGTATTACCTGCCTCTACACCTTAGCTAGCACTACACTAATTACTATATAAACAATATATGCTAACCTACTTAACGCCTACTCATCATGTTGATATCCTGCACAGCGGCCCATGTACTGGCGCTAGTATCGGGTACTATCAATTCGTGAATAAGAAGTTTGGAGTAACCCGGTTTTAGAGAAGGTCGAAGCATGCTTAATATCTTCACGCAAGCTTCGTCCGGCCAATCATGTAGACACTGCCGGATATAATACGCTTTTGCGCCTAGACCATACGTTAATTGACGGAAATTATATTGGAGAGACATTGTTTCCATACTTTTGACAGGTTGTTCCGTGAAGAAGTCATGGACAGTAAAATCAATCCCCTCCACAACTGGCGCAGTATCAATGAACACGGGCATGTCTTGAACGACGACTTTGCCTGGGAGGTCGGGGAATGCCTGCCGGAGAGCAATGGACTTCTGACCGTATCCACCGCCGACATCCAGAAACAATACCGGATTGATATCGGCGTTGAAACCCGCCACAAGCCTTTCCTTGACAGGAGATAGATGCTGGAGCAAAGCATGGCTCTCGCCCCATGTGCTCATGAGCATACCAAAACCGCGTGCCCAATCGGGCTTTTCCAAAACAAGGCTCATCATGTCCTTGTCTTTAATCCCAAAGACCTGCTGGATTACGGTGTTCTTGGGATCGGTTGGCGTCGCGTAATTTCTTGACTTCAGGTACTGAGGTAGGGCTTGGTAAGTAGGGTGGAGAATTTCAGACCTTACAAGACGTAAGTATAAAGTGGATATGAGCTCAGTTACGGAAAAACCCTTACACAGTAACCACTGCATGACCGAAGTCAGTATTTGCCAGTATGGAGTGCGACGGCGATAGCCTATAGCCATCGTGCTCAACTTCTTGGACAGCACCAAATGCTGCTAGAGCACGCAAAAGTCGTTCTAAGTCAATCAGGTTTGAAACAAGCCATAAAAGCTCCTGTAAAGAGACGTACTAAGAAGCGCGGGTTCCACCTTGATAGACGATGCCAAAGTCTTAAGCTTGGTGCTACCATTTTCCTCTTCCAGCTTGGAGAATAATTCTAGATCTAGAGCAACGTCGATCACCGTGCCTTCGACATGCTAAAGTGCCCTTTGCATTAGCGTGTAGGCTAGTAAAAGAATTCTATTTTCTCACCTGAGACAACAGCAATCTAGTGACCAACTCGGTCGGAGTCTCCAGTGATTTCTTCGCCTTATCGAACAAGGCATAGAGTTTGGCCCGGACATCGGCGTCCTCCAAAGCCTCATTTGGTGGCTGTAAAGCGAAAACTTCCAGCTCGGCGAGCAGTTGTTGTGGTGTTAAGTGAGGCATTGTAGTAGCAGGCAAGCTCCCTTTCAGGTCTTGATACAGGTATAGATAAAAATCGTGAATTAGGACGCATAGCCTACTTGTGTCCACGTCACAGTCAGTTGCTAGGCAACATCTTGATGGCGTATGGACTAGATATTACGGCACACAAAACGTAACGGACTTCACCTAAATTACTAACCCAAAATGCTGGGTCGTCTTATAAAACCCAACGCTCAGATTATGTCGCCGCGCATTTCCTTTACTGCAGCCCAGAGATTCTCCACGAGAATAAGCACCGATGGAGGCAACGGCCCGCTCTGCAGGAACCTTACCGTGTCCGGTGCTTGATCAACCTTGCTCGCGCCGAATATTATGCCATCCCCGTTGTTTAGAACCGAGTGGTTTGCCAGCCAACGAAGGGCCACCTCCATAGGCGCTAGTCCCTCTGCCCGCACCCCTGCATCGAACACTTTCATTGCATCCTGCAACTCCACGGACTCAAACATTTTCTGTATGATGTTGCCAAGAGGATTGCTTTTGTCAAATCGTGTGCCGGCATGTGTCTTGTTGACAAGCTTACCGGTTAAGAATCCTGCGGCGAGAGGTCTATGGTGCATGCGTTAGTGCCCACTTTCATGCATACTTGCGCGTTGATACATACTGGAAGCAATTAAATGCGATACCATTCTCGCGTAGTGTCGGTAACAGGTTCGTTTCCATGCCACGGGTGACTAGATTATAGTTTCCTTGATAGCAACTAGGCTTTGCCCAGCCATTCTCTTCGCACAACTGCAGTATTCTCTCTAATACTTTGGGCGGGGTGTTAGATACACCCCACTGCTTTCAGTTAGCGGGGATGTAGCTTAGGTGAGTTTATCGCCTACACTCTTACAGCGCCCTTGCGCTATTTGCTCTATGAAGCCCTGAATTTGCTCTTCGAGTGGGGTACTCGGATCTGCCCTATGTGCATAAAGCACATTAATCTTTTCAAGTCAATGTCAGACACCATACGAAAAAACTGTATATGCAAATGTCTTACCCCCTCGTTGATTTGAAGGCGTTGTAAGCTGCCGGTCAAGGACTTGCTAATCCCCGCGCGGGTCAGGTCACCACTGCCGTCGGTCTGAGTGTTCGTGTAAACTTTGGTATCGATGATGAAGCCCTTGCAAAACTCTTTCGAGTCCCCAATCAACATCTCAGACCGACCGGGATTCAATGGCGGATAGCGCGCGCCTGAGTCGAGTCTCTCTACGCCAAGACCACGAAGTGTTCGAAGTAGAGAATTCACGGAATCCTGGTTCTGGAACTCGGTCAAATCCATGCCGAAGGTTGCAGTTCCGAAGATAAGTCGAGGTGCCATTTTCTCTGCGCCGAGCAAATAGATTGAGATACAGGTTCTCGTAGAAGGCAATGGGCTTGAGAATCTGGCAATCTTACGGTAAAAGGCGTGCCTCTTTTATACATTTGTTGACCCCGCGGCCCAATCTACCGGGTCCAGTAAATGGCGCGCGCCCACAAGGCAACCAATTCCATCTCCGCCATGCATGTAAGAAACAAGCTTAAACTGTTCACTCATTTTTTGTCTGTTTTCTTGGTCAAGTCAATAATACAATCAAGCCTAAATTAGGTCCTCGATACAATGGAAACGTCCGCTACACATCGCAGGCGTATATAGTTACAACAAAAATCGTCACAGGGTCGTCAGGTGAGAATGTTCGAAAATGACGATAAGTGTACAGCACTGATGTTTCAGATGTTCTTCTATGTTCTTCCATGTTCTCCTTCTAGCATACTGTGGGTGAAAACGCAACAAAGACATGGAATAGTTAACGACGCTGCAAATAACCGCTAACTAAATTGACGGAACAGTAGCGCTTGGTTTTTCACCATCCCTAGAATTGCGATTGATATCTTTGACGATATATATCTGTCCGTAAATGTCGGTAACTTTGATGAAGACCTGTAGCGATCGCCACGCTCTCAGTTTAACGTCCTGCTGGACTTGGGCGACTGCTAGTTCCAAGCACTGCCGTTCGTACAATGCAATCTCAAGAAGCTGCTTGCTCGCAACCTGTCTCTTCTCTGCCAGGTCCACCATCGAAATTTCGCTAGTTGGACCAGTCTGTTTGTCGAGAAATTCGGGGAAATCGACACTGTTGAGGTTTTGTTCCAAGAGGTCCCGATCCATAGAGCCATAATCGTTATACTGACGCCACATGGTGGCAAGATGGCAGCAAAGGTCTTGACCAATATAACGTGCTCTAGCAGTGGAGAAATAGTCGACCCCCGGGGGTGATACCACGCACCGAAAAAAAAACTCGAACGAATACGGACAGCTCGTGTGATTTGTCCGAACCCAGCCGAAGTATGTCCCTACTCCCATGATTCGTTTCGCAGAACGAGAAGATCGGTCCAACTTCTGAAGTCGGAAATTATCCTCGCCCTACGCAACATGCGCCAGGAGAAAATGCTTTTGGATGCATATACAACGTCGGGATGCTCCAAGACCCAAGAAACAAATTGAGATAGTATTCCTTTGAGGTTGGTCATATTTGTCCGGTGAGAAACGGGTGAATCCACGACTCCCACCTTCGTAGGGAGCGGCTCGGTTGTGAACAGCTTTCGCCTTTTACCCTCCCTTTCATAATCACCAGTGCCTATATGGCCATGACGCTCATCGAACACTTGGCGGATTGTTATTCTTAGTGAATCAAACAGGAAAGAAGAAGGATTATCGGCAGTGACATCTTCAAGGTACTTGTCAACCTCGAAGTTGAGCATAGAAACAACCATCATCTCAACGATAGCCTTGGTCGACATGCCAAAGTGTGTTGAATTGTTGCACATTGCCCAAGTAAACGGAATGTACTGGAGGTAACCTGGCGTTGTGTTGCCTTGACGAGGGAATATGTGTAGTTCGGATCGGCGTTTGTCGAGGATGGGGGTTAACATGAGACCTTCGAGAATAGAAGAGCTCAACCTCCAGATGGGCTCTTTTGTAAGAATCGGTAGCGCTGAGAAGAGTCTGACATAATTTCTGAGTTTATCTCCCATGCCAGGGAAATATTCGCGGGTTTCATCCTCTGAAGCCCGAGGACATGAAGGTTGTATGGCTGCCAAACAGTATGTCGAGGAAAGCATTGCCGAGCCATATGTGACTTTCTCTACCCATACTAGAGCAGGCTTGCCCCAGTTAGTTTCTTCCTCTTTGATGAAATTAATCCCGAGATCTATGGCCGCTTCGATTTTGTAACGGATGTGATCCATCCAAGGAAGGCCGACCAGTTTTCTCAACGTGAGAATTGAATAGGATGTAATCTCGGGGGAGGTTTTCCAAGACCCCGCTGAATCCTGCCCACTCAATGTTTGAATGACTATTTGCAGAGTCATGAGCGGGATACGTTCATGGAGTAGGCGCAATAACAAGCCCGTAGGGGCTTGCGCACCCCACATTTCAAAAACGGTGACTGCGACCTGAGATAGGAGCATCATGGGATATTGCCTCTCTAGGTTCTAATTTTTTTAGTGTGTTATCCCTGGGGATATTTGCGTGCGTACCCATTTGTCCTTCCAGTTTCCATCGTACCATTTGCTGCATACAAAGTCAAGCGCTTTCTCGATCTGGCATACATATTGTGAACTCCTTGGAGAAGTCAAGAGAGCCATGAGAACGTTGCAGTTTGCGCTGAACGATTCCGTCGATTCAGAAACGTACGTTCTGAAATGTGTCCTCCCCTCAAAGACCTCAATCATCTTTTTGCAGCTGAAGGGGAGATCGAGCAGATTCAGGCACAGGATACTTTTTGCAGTATCGTCCACATCCGGAAGAACACCGGGAGAGAAACCCAAGATACCTGAGTTCTTCTCCAGTTCAGTCTTCAAAAATAATGAAAGCCGAGTGATATGCCCTTGTCCCAATACTTCGGGGCGCAGCCCAGCCTCAAGAAATGTGGATATGACCTGGATAATTAGCTTTATTCTTTTTCGAACGATGCGAAAGGACATACCCATGTAATCTCAAACACATTGATTGGAAAGGCCGACGGAACCGCGCCATCTCCCACGCTTACAACGAAGTCCAGGTAGTTCTCTGCTTCATCGTCCCAAGTCGAACAATTCATGAGGTATGCCGCCGTCGAGGAGGGTGATGCCATCATTGAACCATTAGTCAAATGGAAGCCGACCTTGTCGAATTCAATGTCCCCAATGAACGTTTCCAGTGAATGGAGCAATGTAGTTTTCTTTTGTTTGTAAAGGATAGTCGGAGATAGTGTGCCCAATTTGCGATTCTTCAATAACATGAGGTATTGGAGGTCCGGGAAGTTAAGGTCCAGTCCTTCCGCCTGAAGCATGGTAAGGAGTTTGGGAACAAGGATTTCGAAGCCAACATGGTCAGTGTCCTTCAAATTCCATCCTTGGAGTTTGTTGTTGAGATAGTCTTTCCCGCGCCTGATTCGTTCCCTCATATCTAGAACGGGATCACATCCGGTGAAAGAGGGATTTGCTTCATAACGAAGAAAAGCTAACAGTGCGGCACTGGTATTGAGTATCTGATCCACTGTAGTGTCATATTCTCCAAAACCCCCATCTGGCATCTGGCTTCTCAGGATAGCTTGGAAGCTTCGGGGGAATAGCCATCGTGTCGCATTGCTGTCGTTTTCGGCTTGCGGCTTTGCCACCATGGCTACCCAAGCGGTATCGTAAACCGAGGTAGTCATTGAGCTGCCCCCATAATAAGGCCTTTCCAGTGAGTCGGCCAAGTATGCGACAATTTGGCGGACTTTGTTGTCCGTTTCAGAGACTATGGTATGGTATAGAAACTGTCAGAGAATGTTGAAGAGGAACGAGGCGATATGATATCAACTCGTACCTAACTGAAGGGGTCAAATCTCGAGGTATTTAAACCTTCAGAGGGTAAAAAATGCTTCCGTACTGACCAGCCGTAACTTACACACCCCTGCCTTGGTAGGCAGCGTAGGCTACCCTAGGGATGTATCGGCAACGCGACACAGGAGCTATTCCTTTGGCGGTTGTGGTATTGCATATGTCGGGGATAACCGAGTCCGAGCCGTGCTTTGCCGCAATTAAGATTGTCACAATCTGGACCGGGGTTCAAGATGTGGTGTTATGCGGAGCATATGCAAGTGTGTGACACAGCTCAACATGCCAACACAAGTAAGCCTTGATTTAGAATATGACTAAATTGGATGCCGCAAGAAACTCAGTATTTGCCTAGATTGGCATGCATGATGCATACAGGGGTTTGTCAGCTATCGGTTAGTTTAAATTTGTTGTGTCAGATAAGCCATTTGGTAAGAGGCGAAGCATGCTTTTCCGTGTAACATAGTGCAATAGCTTTCATTCTCCCATTCCAGCACGATCGTTTCAACCAAAAAAACCTTGCCTCTCAGAGCAGAATATGTTGAACTTTATGTCGACCGTTAGGGAATTTGCTGTTACTCCAGGCCTTATCACTGCTGCCATCTTCTTTATTTTGACCCTGAGCTGGATAGCACTGTCTGGCAAGGAAGGAAACGCCCGAGTCCGGGCTCAGTGATTGGCCCAAAGGATCCAATTAGATCAAGATGGTGATTCTTCAGGAATGCGTCGGACCTCATCCAGGAAGGCTACACGAAAGTCCATAATCTTGCATGAGCTGAGAAGGGTTACATATAGTAAGCGAATCAACAAGGTACTAAGATCCAAACAAAGTGGACTGCACAAGTGTATTGTAAGGTCTAAGGAGATCAATAGAGCTCTGGGCTGACTATATACTGTACGAGAAAGGAGCTATGCCTAATAAGTGAATAGTGCAGTACATGGGTATAACATTGCGTGAGACACGTGCAACACACCCTCCTAGCTTTAATAAAGTAAATACTAAAGCAAAGCTATATAAAAATAAATAGACTATAAGTATACAGTAGTGCACTTAAAAGTATAAAATAGCTAAAAGAAAAAAAAGTTAGTAAGCTTAAGTTTTTAAGCTAATATTAGTAAAGTAAGCTTTTAAAGTATTACTTAAGTAGATAAAGCCTAGTTATTTAATAAATACTTAATGCTTTTATTAAAGTAAAAACTTAGTAAGGCTTTTAGCTAGCATGTCTGTAGTAGGGATCTAGCATATATAAATCCTTCTTTTCTGTACCTCTTAGCAGAGCTAGTAGTTGTAAATGTTACCATGCTTAAGCTTATTATTAAGCTTTAAGTCTTTTACTATAGCTTATATAGTTTATTAATTATTATATAGTAAAGTAATCTTTTTTTTAGTGTTGTAGTTTATATTTATAAAAAATTACTTCTACTGTTATAAGTAGCTAGTAGAATAAAAGAAAGCTAAAAGCTTTACTTTAGTTATTAATTTAGTAACTAAGCACTATAAGAAGGCCTTTCAATTAATAGCTGTACTAAATAGTGTAAATAGTATGCTATAAAAGCTATAGTAACTAGCTTTATTATTACTATAAGCAGCATTTAATGCGCTATAAAAGATAAGTTTTTATAATAAGTAAGTAAAAGTTTTTAAGTACTAAAGTGTATAGTCTTTAATGCTACAAAAGTACTTAATTATATACTAAGTAGCTGTCAGATATGCGCACCTACTGTCAAGACATGAGGAACGCTGGACGAAAGCTGCTACATAGTACAAGCAATAAGCTCGAACAGTATGTTGCTGCAAATTGCAGCATGTTGCAGCAAATTGCAGCATGTTGCAGCAAATTGCAGCATGTTGCAAGCTGGTCGCGCATAGGGCTAGTGCGCGAGGGACTCGGACCGGAAAAACAAAAGCCGAGCAACACGAGCAGAGCAGAAAAAGGATCAAATAATCAATACAATCGATGATCATCCTATACATCATATCCAAACCCATCATTCATCTTAGGAAGCCTAGAAACAGTGCTTCAATCTAACAGTAGCCTTTTAGTATTTATTTAAAGAGTTAGCTAGGTATTTAAAGAGCTTTAAATTAGCTTTAGTAATATTAAGTTTAATAGTAGTAGCAGCATAGCTAATAAAGCTAATGCGCTGCTAGTATACTATAATATTTTATACATTTATTTTAGTAATCTAATTAAGCTATAAAAGTAGTGCTAATATATTTAATATAGTAATTAGATAAAAATATATGTAACTAGTATTAAAATTAAAGTAGGTAGTAAGCTACTTAATATATAACTCTTAACTAAGCTATATAGTGTAGTTAACTGTATTATAGTTAATTTAGATGCGAAGAAACTAGTTTAGTTCTTTTATAGCTTAATTTTAAAATTAGTTTAAGTGTTGAATAGGCTCTAACAGCTAGCTGCTTATGGTATAAGCACTTAAGTAGCAAGAGTAAGAGTGGTGTACAGTGTGCACAGCGTACAAGGTAGAAAAGGTAAGGGCAACATGTTTCTAGTTCTATTACTCTTGTCTTTCCTCTGTATAGAGGAAAAGAGGGATATCTAGATGTTCACACACAGAGGTTCGCGCACAAGCATTATGTAACATAGATACGTAATCCTGCTTGTGCGCAATTGTTTGTATCTAGGCCGCGACGCTGCTGCTGCGTACAGACACTAGCAACTTTTCTTTTTATCTAAAGAGTTGCCTTCTGTACGCGTTACCTCCCTTCTATCTATGTAGGTCTATTTAATTATGTTCTGCCTTTACTTTACCTTATTTATTAGGACTTGCCTTAGTAATGCTGTGCATTAGAATAGGCTAGTTACACTATGTAAATAGCTTTTTTTTTCTTTATCCTTTGCTTTTTAAGCTCTGCTGTACAATCCCCTAGCTCTCTTTTCTCTTTTTATATAGTGCTAATAGTAACAGATCCTTATAATAAGAAAGATAAGTATGTACAATATAAAAAAAAACAAAATAAAAGGAAATAAGCTTTATATAAAGGTGTTATTAGTCTAGTTAGTCTAAGGCATCTTTGCGCACAGGATCTAGCTGGTCCACAGATGCTTCTATCTAGACAGAGAGGCAGTTAGTTAGAACTAATAATTAAAAAGCCTAGTTTAGTGTTTTTTTTATACATACATCTACTAAGTTGTCTTTACTATTAATCTACTTAATTTTAGCAATTTCCCTTTTCTTATATAATTTATAGAGTAATATAATGTTAATTATAAGTTACTTTTTACTAGTAGTGCCTAGCTTAATAAAGCAATTATATAAAAACCTTAAATCTATGCAGATTACTACTAAGATTAGTAGTAGTTTAAGCGTTTATATAATTTACTATAGAGTTGTACTAAAAGTAATTACATTATTAAACCCTTTAACTATTTTATATAGTTTGCTAGTAAGAACACTCCTAGTTACTCTTTTACACTTAGTAAAATTCTAGTGTATAATGTTTCTTAGTATTTTAAAGTAGTTACTTTACTTTATATAGTCTTTATTACTTAATATAATTAAGAATTCTAGCTATAAGCTAAAGTTCTTATTATTAGTAAATAATCTATTTATAAAGATAAACAGCTTTATATAATTAAGCTATAATAGTAGAAAAGTAAGACTGCGCTTACTATTATCTATCTACTATTAGATTTATGCGTTAAGTATGTTAATGTTATTATGTAAAGAGTCTATAGTTTATGCAGTAATAGACAGGTTAAATGCTGCCTCTAGTTAACACACAGATGTAATGTATGCTCTTTTTACATATTACTTAACATATTATTATGCAGCATCTTTGTTTTTTAGGTTAATTATATAAAAGTAGCTTACTTATCTCTTTTAAGTAAAAACTACTATGTTGTGTATAAGTTTAATTTTTCTACTATTAAACTTAATAAGTTACTTCTCTACTAAGATAGTCTTACCTTTTATATAAAACTTTACCTTTTATAGTTTTTTTTTTCTTTTTATATAAAATTTTTTATTATAATGCTTAAAGTGTTATTTATCTGTAGGCTAGTAATACTAAAGGTGTGCTCTCCTTTATTAGTAATTAAGAGGTAAGAGTTATATAAAAAGATGTGCATGTGTAGCTTTTTTTTATAGTAGTTATAGTATGTCTTAAACTAATACAGTTCTAATTTAGTAGCTTTATATAAAAGTTGTATAACCTAGAGTATTATATTTAGTAGAAAGCTCTAGCGCATTTTCTTTAGTAGCTTTATGTACAGCGTGCGCATAAGCTTATCTATTAATTAGATATATACTTATGTAATATTACATAGTTTAAAATATATTTTATACATAGCTTTTAGGCTTACTTTTATAGCTAAAAGTAGTCTTTAGCTTATTCTTTAAATAGTTAGTAACTAGGTAAGGATTTCTTTTTTCTTTTTATTTAAGTAGCTAGCAAACACTAGGCAGGATTTCTTATATAGTTAGGTTATTTTACCTTTTACTTTTTATATAAGGTAAAGGTTAAAAATTTAACCTTTATACTTTATTAGGTTATACACTATAACTTTAAAAGTGCTGTTAGTAATTAAGGTGTCTATCTTTATATAGTCTAATTTCTTAAATAGTTTTTTAAGTGTAGTAATTACACTGTCTATATAAAGCTTAATAGATAAGGCCTAATTATTCTTTTTCTTTTAGGTTAGGAATACCTAGTCTAGACTTTATGCAGGTTTCTTTTACCTTTTACTTCTTTTAGTATCTATATCTTCTCTTTACACTAGTGCAGCATTGCTATTCTAAGGGGCTTAGTTTATAGTAGGCTTTAGTTTTACCTTTATAATATTCTTATAAAGCTGTTTTTTTTTCCTCTTTTTTAGAGAATTTTTTTATATAAGGATTAGTTTATCTAGGTTATTTATTGTAAGTAAGTTGTCTTTTTTTTTTTTTTATAGTATAGTTTAACTTGTGTATATTAAAGCTTTAGTAGGCTATTTTTTTTTT